ATATGAACCCTTAAATAATTGCAAAATATTGATGGTTTTTCTTGATTAAAGAGTTTTTATTTTATAGTTTAATATAATCTAAACCGTAAAATAATAAACTCTTTTATTATTTGTTTCTAATAATAAATGTTTAATTATATATTTTTTTAAATAAAAAACAGGGGAGATGAATAATGCTTCTGGTATCTTCAACCAAGGCATTCCTGTCAGGAGCAAGTCTGTATATGCTTGAATTTTTTTTTTCCTCAAATTTGCTGTTTTCAATATGGTTAATTCTTCCCTCCTGCTCCTTTTTTTTTTTTTATGTAAGTTTTGAAAGTTGTCTAAGACAAATTGATTCTTGCAAGTTGCAATAAAGGGTAGACAAGTTGCAAGTTGCATTATGTTTTTAAGCTGCAGAGCATTCATGGATTTTGTTTGATGTTAGTGACATTGATGAAAACAGTTGTGTAATATATAGGGATGTGACTCTTCTATCCTTCTAACCTACGAGGGAAGTGAGAGGAGGCCATAGGTTTCCAAGTGATAAGACGACATCAATGCCGGGGTCCAGAAACACTGCCCTAAAACAGTTTGTTGTGCGGACATTCTAACCCCTGCATGAAGGGACAGTAGTCCTACCGGGAGGCCGCTATTGGGCCCTTCCCTGTGGTAGGAAAGATGCTCACTCTTCTCATGCAACAGAAGCCACCACAGTGCCAATGGGCCACGAAAACGTCACCACATTGCTTGAGTTATTCCTATCTCAGGGTCTTAAATGTACTTGACTTCTTCTCTCAGAATCTCAGGAGCACATACCGCTCGGGAAGGACACATGTGGGTCGGTCCGACATTGGCTTTACAACTTCAACGGGACTGACAAACCGGACACATGATATCCGTTGAGACCCACTACTTGGACTTCCTCCAAGGGAAGTGCATGTGGGAATCGGAGTACGTTGATCTTGATGGCTCCATCCCAACTGCTTTGGACGCTGAATACTACAAAAATCTTGAGAAGAAGATGGGAACGTTATATACGGACCAAACCTTTGTCCAACTAATCTCAATCGTAGCTATATGCTGCCTTATCCACAAATGCCCAATAAAAAAATTCACCTTCAATGGTGGTGTACGTAATCCATTGAAATCTGCTGTCCTTTGTTTTTTCCCTATAGCTTCGTTTCCGATTACAATATTCTTCATGCTTATTGACAAAATTAAGATTATGGTTTACCAATTAATGCTTTATTTTGATATTTTTCTAGTGATTAAGAATATGTTGAGACTTTATCAAGTTTCATGTTTAAATTCTATTATATGTAAAAAACTATCAATGAAAAATGTTCACTTGTAATAATCTTTAATATTTAGACTTTTCAAATTAATTAACCTTTTATAGTCTATCTTCCAAAATTTTCTTCTTTTTTTTTGGTAAATCCAAAATTTTCATGCTGCATTTATATGTTTATGCTTTTGGCATGAAATAAGCGAGATTGATTAATTTTGATTCCTTGTGCTTGTCTTCTTACTAGCTGTGTCTGCCATATCTGTGTTGTGGGCTCCATTTGGTCCTCCTACTAACAGACTACAGGAATAGATTACTTCCAAGCACGGAACAAATAACTATAGGGTTCTGTATGGCTGCTCTAGACCCCGGAAAGATGGACCTAAGAATGTTGCTGCTCACTGCAGACCTTGAAGTTACACGACGCAAATGGGTGGGTTGAGCTAGGTTGGTGTAAACCATTAGATGAGGTAGGTCAAATAGGTTTGTGGGTTAAATAAGGTAACTTACCTATTCATTTAGGAATTTTTTGGTTGTGACTTGTTTAAGTGAATTACGGTGAATGAATTAAAAATCCTTACCAATGGCTCATTTTAAATTAGTGGATTGAGTCAAATTAGTGAGTTAGGTCAACTTTTCATGTGTCTATCGAGAATTTATTGTAAGGAGATCACTTGATTAAACATAAGGCGGTGGTATACGGATAATTTTTTTATATCATCTCTTAATATAACTTTCACATGTTATTAAATGAGTATATACATTCAATATCACAAGTCTCATATTAATTAAAAGAACATATCATCTAAATAACATGTCAAGTTATATCAAAAAGTTATATCAAAAAGTTGTCCTAAAATCATTTCCCTTAAACATATGGATTAGTCAAATAATGTCCTAACTTTCCTAAGAAAAGCTTTTCTTCTAAGGATCTTCTTTTTTTTTTTTGATACATTCTTCAGAGGTTTTATTGTTTGTAAGACAAAATTCATCAAAACTAGAACATTAGTCTCCTAGTGTATTTTTAGTCAACAAATGTCCCGGTAGTAGTCCTAGGTAATCGGGTAACAACAACATGGAACAAAGCGTTCTAGGCCTGCCCGAGCAACCAAACACAGCCTTGATTTTGTGTGTTTCTTATTTTCCACAACCACAAAACAGGAGACATTGATAAAGCAAATATTATCTCACCTAAGAACATTTCTAAAGCATTCTACCAACCCTTTGGCCTTTGCCTTCCTTTTTTCTCACCTTTCACATCTTTCTCCACCTTACTTGAAAGTTGAAAATTTTATAACATACCAAGGTATTTCTCTCAAAACCCATCTTCACCACTACTTCATGTTGAATTCCCAAGCTCTTCTAGATGCATGATTTTTGCACATATTCCTCATCTTGCATGGCTAGTGATGGAACATCCCCTGTTGTTTCTCCTCTAACCCTCTTCTTCTTCCTTTTAATTATGATGTTTCACCTTCACTCTGCTACTTTGCTCCCAAGAGAGCATTTCCCACATATAACTTCAAGAAAACTTGGGAGTGCCAGTACTATGGTTGCCGGTACTGATATAAAGACTAATGCACTCAGCGTTCCTCCACCAGGGCGAAGAAGATCTTCTCTGCCATGGCAAGAAAGAGTCTACAATACCAGTTCTCATGAAGTTCCAAGCGGTCCAAATCCAATTTCAAACAGGTAAACAAGATCAAAACCCATATATATATAAAATTAATTTCATGGTCCTAAATAGTGTGTTTGCTTAGTTTGTACCACTGCTGCTCATATAGTCATATATATTCATCTATAGCTGTCTTCCTAGGCACTTCTTTCTACAGGAATTGGATATTTTGTGAAATCAGTACAGTACATTCTTATTATTGTATTCCAAACACCATTTTATCAACCAATGATTGAACTAGTGGGAATGTATATGAGATTTCTGTGATGATCCATCTTTGTCTTGAATGGTCATGACTCATGATTATATATGCTAATTAATTACTTCCATTATTTTGTATGTACAAACTTTATCTATTATTAATTAAATAATTAAGGTGATCGGATGTATTTTTTTTTTTTAAAATCCATCTTCACACATCTCAAAGTTTTGAGTAAACTTAATGAATCTCAAATAAGTTTTTATTTATTAAAACTGATCATCTTACTTCCAAACAATTGTTCATCCAAATTAATGTATGTTTGACCAAATTAGTCACTAGACTTGCTCCATGGCAAGGGGATGGGTTTTGGGTGCACTTTCTATCACATCACAGCTAAGGCAAGGAAAATGTTTTAATTTGATGATGAGAGACATAATGATTCAGAAATGTATATGGGACTGAGAGTTTTGGGACTTTGTTAGGCTGAGAGACAGACCAAAAGAGGGAGAGAGAATGCCCACAACACCATAGTTTTGCGTGTAAAGTTGTACTCTTACTGGCACCCAAAGCAGCAGTGAAGGGTTGCTTTTAAAAGCTGAAGCAGGGGGAGCACCAGCACCATATACAGGCTTCTCCACGTCGGTGGCATGTTCTCTTCCTCTTGTTTTCATTTCTTTGCATTCGGTTTTTGCATGGGACACTTTGAATGCATTCAATCTTTTCTTTTGCTTTCTTTTTTGGATGAATGAACAAAAATCCTTTCCCTTTTCTAAATCACTATCAATTTGTCTAAAGTTTCAAACTTGAGACGATAAATCGGTTGACATATACATTGAAGATAAGAATGGGTTCAATCTTATAACGAACCCCATGTAACCATTTTAAGATGTTGATGGGTTTTAAGAATCAAGATATTAGCGATACATTTTTATTAGGGCCCTTTTGGTTACCTTCCTGAGCCAACAAGTTTTACATGGGGAAAGTTGGCTGTGGATAAAGATTTGTCCAACGGAGAGTTTTGTCGGCAGAAAGTTTTGTGAGGGTTGCCAGCGTTTAGTTTACATTTTGGAAATTAACTTTTCTTTTGCTATGGTAGACAATTTTATTAAAGTAGTCTAAAGACATTTAAAAATAATTTTTTTTGTTTTAATTTATATAATAAAAAATAACTATCTCATTTCATAACTTATCATATTATTTCTTAATATATCGTATTCGTATGTTATTAAATTTAAATTTAAAATTTCTTCTTTATAAAATTATTATTGAATTATTTATATTATTAAAATTTTTAAATAAAATTAAAATTACAAAATATTAACCTCTTTAAAATGACAATAAAGTATTGAATTATTTTATTAAAGATTATTTATTATCATTCATAAACATTTTAAAAATAATAAGTTATGATACTAACTGTTATTGTATCTGACCTATTGAATCGAGTGATTGTTGCCATTTTGTTAAAATGCAGTTCCTTCCTCCTTTTGAGGTTGGATTTAAATTCTGATGATGCTTGTTAAAAAACAAAATACTAACTGTTATTTTATTAAAATAGTCAATCTCAATCATTACCCGTGAGACCTTTACAATGGTAAGTCTACAAACAAAAACAAAAGTATTAGCCTTACGACACGCTTAGATAAATGAATGTCATTTTAAGTTTAAAATTATAACCTCATCTTATTATTATTATTATTATTATTATTATTATTATTATTATTTTAAACATACCTCATCTTATTATTTGTAAACATTATAAAAATAATTAGTTATAATAGTAACCGTTATTTTATTAAAATAGTCAATCCTTATCTGTACGACCTTTACAATAGTGACTCTCAAACGAAAACAAAACACTAGGCTTACGATATGCTTACCTTAATGAGTATATTATAAGATAAAATTACAATATCATATTATTATATTATTCATTATTTTTATTTAGAATATATATAATATTGTACCTGAACAGCTATTTCTGGTCCAATGACAAATGACATTAAACATAAACACTGAGTTTGGACTATTCACTCTTTTTAAGTTGCACGTTC